CGTTACAAGAACGCAGACACAAGTAAAGAAGATTTTCATTACTGAGGATGAATTTGACACCAAGAATAACATGTAGTGAGACCAGAACTGAGAAGATAAATAAATTTTGCACACTTGTGCTTCTCAAACTGCTGTTTCCGGACAACACTTATAAAAGCATTGCAAGTCTGCTCCGGTATCACACACTTAAGACAACAACTCGGTGTCGCGTGTCAATAAACACAAATTTTATATAAAGAAGGAAGGAATAAATTTAAATTACACATTTCCCTACATGGGTTAATTTATTGCTGCATCTGTGAAGTCGGTATAAACAGCCTGAAAAGATTTTTTCCTGCAACAGCAATGTACGACACAGATGACTCTCATTGAATACCCTTTAGATTCATGTCAGAATCTAAACTTACGGACTCACCGCAGGACAGAAAGTTGTTTCTGTTTGTGCTGATTCATCAGAGCTGATTAGACTTTTCTTTGTAAAGGAAAACTTACAAGAGAAGCACATTTATTGTCTCATAGAGTTCTACAGTTTTTCTGTGTGGTAGCATAATAAACCTTTTTCCTAGAAGATAATTATTCTTCTTTTCTGTTGTTTTATAGCATTTGAAGTGTAGGGATTTTGTGAATTGTCTTTATTTTCGCAACTTGAATGTTATATGTTCTAAAACAGTTTGTGATATAAATAAAAGAAATTATTTTGCACAGTATTTGCAGCAACTTTGGTGGACCTATCTCTCTTTCTTTTCTCATTAATTCAAATACATTTTGTACATTTGCATGAAACCTGGTGTTTAAGAGTTTAATATTTTTCAGGGTAACTTCATAAAGGATAGTTATAACTTTTTTTGTAATTCTTTAAACAATCATTTAATAATGACAAGATGACTTGTTTGTTAAACTGGTAAATTTAACATTTCGTTTCCACAAGCATTTGGAAATTGGAACTTTTGCTTGTTTTGTCTTCACCTCACTTCCTTTCTTCCTTCCATCCATCAATGCATCTCTTGTCTTTTGCTTTTCTAGTAGCAGGTCTTGTGGATTGCAGCTCAAGGATTAACTTTAGACTTTAGACTCCTTTATTGTCCATTAAACTTACATAAAATGGTAATTTATCTTTGGATATGGCATAAGAAACACACAACACACATCACAGTCGCCACAAAACTGCATGCACAATGAACAAACAAGATCTGTAAAATGAAATCAAGTCATACTACTCTACTCATGTCATTCAGTTAAGTATTAAAAACCATTTAAAATGTTCTATTCTACTGCTAAGAGAGCACACAGAACTTCTACACTGAGTCACAATGCACTGTGTTACTGTGTGAAATTTAAAATCAGTGGAATACTACTAGAAGACTTAGAGAACACAGACTTAGACAGACAACTATTACAAACATCACTTGTAATACTTGCCTTTGTAAAGTCTGCAAGGGAACTAAGATCAAGGGAGGTAAAGATGGAGGCGCTGCCAAGAACCATGACCTCAGTTTTCTTTTTGTTGAAACTCAAAACATTTAAAGACTTCCAAACCCAAATCTCGTCAAGCCGGTCCATTAAACAACAGACCGAAGAGGCGTCTTTTCTGGTGAGGCCGGTAACTTTCCACATTGCCCACGTAACAGTGGAAGTGTATACCATCCTACCTAAAAATGGAGCAGAGAGGAAGCAGGCAGAGAAGGAAAAACACAGGGACATATGATTGAGCCCTGATGAACTCCAAAAGGAAGACCTGCGAGGACGCAGATCTACTAAACCCGACAGAATGTTCGCCCAGACAAACGGGACTTGAACCCTTCCGGAGCCACGCCCCTCACACCCACCCACTGCTGTAAGCGAGAGATTATAACTCCTAATCCACTGTATCAAATACGACTGTCAAGTTTGAAAGCACAAGAACAACATTGTTACCAAAATCTATGGCGAAATGAATACTAACACTTCTCCAAAGCCTGACTGAAAATCTGTGATCAGTTTTTTCTGGTCAAAGGTGTGTCTTTTCATTGAGCTTCTTCCCCCAGCCAGTCTGTCCCAGGAATGGTTTGCCACGGCGTGCTTTGTCTGTTTTGGTTGTGTTCGCGGCCCTGAGCCCATCCCTCTGAATTAGCTCATGTAAATGACTTATTCCACTTGGTTAGGGCCAAGCGGAGAATTACGTAACTGTTACACCCTCTCACACTTTCCTCATTGCTGCTGAGGTTTTCAGAAAAATTAAAGTCAGATGAGGATGCTAGGAGGCCATTATTTTTCTCATGTTTGAGGCATTTGTTGCCGATCTGAATAGGGAAGCACTGTTTGCATGTAATAGAGCCTTGTCCAACTTAGCATTCCTTGCTGCTAGCTTCTTCCAGCACAGCTATTCACAGAAGGTGCTGATTTTGGTTTATTGGGAAATTGATGGCGAGAGCACCAGGGTTCACCTGATTTGAAGTAGTTCCTTGTTATTTGTTACAAACTTCACTATGCTGCAAAGTTAGTAGCAATGGTTGGATTTGGGATGCTTTCAGTGGTGATTAGAAGAAATGTTGACACTAAATATTTGCTTGCGGGACATTGACAAAAATAAAGCATGAAGAATTTGAGAGACCCCAATATAAGCTGAAGTGGACGACAGAGAAACGAGAAGTGATTCCGGTTAAAGTTTTGTTCCACATCTAAATTCAGAAAAGGGCTCTGGGAATCAAATCTGATCCAACTGAGCCACTCTCCAGCTCAAGGTTTGAAACCAACAGTGAAATTTGCCTAACTGCTGTTAGCAAAATTAGCCAAAAACACATTCACACCAAGCTTTCTCAATATCCTGCTTATGTTGGAAAAGCACACAGTTGTTCACGTAAGTTATTAAAAAACATACCACACCTTCATCCGCCAACTACTTCCTGTCGTCTTTTTCTTCGTAGTTTGTGCCAGTGGCAACATCTGGTTGTCGATTATGTGACTCCTGTGATGCGAAAAGTGTTTCTATTGCAGCGTTGGTAGGCCAAAACACCAACTTAACCCCTGTGCCAAAACGGTTTATTGAAAAGAATCTTCTATTAAGCAAATTTATTTTAGAAATGTCAAATTGTGCAATTTTATGGTCGCACTACTACCATGAACGCAGCTCATGATAGTAGAGGAAACTGCTGACTGATGCTAAGCTTTACTATTTGAAAGGTCGAACAAATCCTCAAAACATTTATTGTGTTGTGCCGCTGTCAGGCAGCCATGAATAGAAACCCACAAATTTCTCTCAATTCTTATTTGCTTGGTTGGGTTGATGTTTCTAAGGTATTTGTGCTTAGCGTCCAAGTGAAATCTGTCGCCCTGTCATTAAAAATGTGACAGAACAATCTTCTCAGGGCATCCTGGCGAGGGAATGCATTTAAATCAGCTTATAACTTAAAAAATAACCAATTGCAGTGGAAGTTCTTGAATAACGAAGGAAATAAGTGGATTCCTACTACTGTTATTTACTGTTGGCATGACAGAGCGCCGTTTGTTTTTTGGGGGGGCTTTTTCCTCTTAAACGTTGGCGTGACCTTTTCAAACTGGTTCCAGACCAGCGCTTCAGAATAAAGCCACCGTCCCATCTCCAGGCAGAGTGGCTTGCGTTTGGCAGCAGAGAGATGAAGGACAGGATATGAGCTCGCCGTGTACAGGAACCAGATGTATCCTATTACTCTGTCCTCGGGTACACTGGGGATGGGAACCGCGTGATCAGTCTTACCTTCTCTGGGATACAGAGATACTTTCAGGTGCTAAATGTATTCGCGAAATTAAGTAATTGGAAAAATGTTGCAGGTGACAAGAGAACAGTTCCCACCAGCAGTGAATGAGAACCTCTTTGGGTGTTTCCTGCATGTAACTCAAAGCGTTTGTCCTTCTTTCTCTATTGAGTGGAGGTGAAACGTATTATTTGCTTTCCTGCCTGCTGATGAATAGGTAGTAACTGAAATGGTGACACAAATACACTGCGACAAAGAGCTCTGTTACATATGTATTTCAGATTGTTCATTATTGTGAAAACCTACGCAGTGTTAAGCACTGATAAAGCAAATGGGCTTTATTGTGGGTACTTGGAGTTGTCTTCCAATAAATCAGAAGGCTTCATCTGAGGATTCCCTCTATAATAATGTGAATGGAAAAGGATTACCTTCCAGCATTTCGGTAGAAGATTGTTGTAACTGCAACGACATAAAAGAAAAATCTTTTAAAGACACTGACATATTAAGTTGTAAATACTTCTTCCATTTTCTGCCTCCACTGCTGCCAATTAAATCTCACCTCTGATCGCTCAACCATGAAATATGCAAAACACACATATTGCATATTTCAGATTCAAGATCCAACTAAAAAGGGAGCAAAAATAACGAACAATCAAATACTTTACTACTATTTAATCAGGTTTTTGTACATATGAGCACTCTAATTTCTATCCTTTTTCATTTCTTTATTAGTTAGTTTATTTATTTCATTTTCTACAGGCTGTTTTGCCTGTTTCTGCTGTGGGATCAATACAGTCTTATGCTTCAAAGCAACACCAAACTTTCCAGCTCCTTATAAAATGACCCTCCATCCTTGTGCTGAAAGGAACTCGTTTGCATTTTCAATATGTAGTAACATAACACTCGTCAATGTCAATTTTATTTGTAAAACGCTTTAAAACAACAGGTCGTACAGGCAGCGCTTGTAATTATTGGGCAACTTCCCGATAATTGCAAGTGGCCATGAACACCTTTTAAGAAGAGACAAGTATTGTTTTTTATTTCTAACCTAAAGTGAAAAATAGCATCAGGGCATTTGTTGTGTTCAGTGTCTCAGTAAACCCTGGCTTTAAGGCTGCTTAGCATCGTCGAGGCCACTAGACGTTGGAGGTCGTCGGCTCTCCTACCTGCGTGTTGCGCCCCGGTTTGGGGACGCTTTCCCCTGCCTCAGGGGTCCGTCTGTCCCTCCCACCCACCAGCCTCCGCCCAGCCCACTGCCCGTCCAGTTCAGCACGGCGGAGCAACCGGACACGTCTCAGAAAGCTGAGCTCTTCACCCAAGAGGGCGACGTTAGTCCTGGTGGTCTGGCGGAGCGGGGAGCGGCGGGGAGAAACCGCGGGGAGAAACCGCGGGGTTCAGGGACACGGCGGACCGAGCGACGACTCCCCCGCTGGAAAGCAGCGACACGACGAGAACACGGTAGAGTTTGTTTTTTTCTCTCTCTTTTTATTCTGTTCTAAAAGAGTTTGAATAAAGCGACTCCTTCCTGTCCTCACGTCGTCCCTTCGTTTGGTTCATTGCAGGCGAGCAAACAAACTTCATTTCATTACAAGTTATTCATCTGTAACAGAAACAGACAGGAAGAAAAACTTACACATGTTTATTTTCTTTAAATTGAACCTAATAGGGAGCTTTATAACCCAAATGGGTTCGAGTGGGTCGGACTGGTGAGGGGACACAGAGACATTTGTGACCCTGTATGGATAGCTCCGAGTTTCCTTTGGCTGAATCAGTTTTATGTTATATCCACAGACAAGATCACAGTCCAATAATTCCTGAGTCAAACTTAAAACAAACCACATTATGTGAAGCCGCCATATTGTATGTGACACAAATACATTTTCAGAACTGTCACAGTTTCAGTGCAGAGACTGTAGTTGATCTTTTAGAGCTTGTAGAATAGATGTTGTAATGTCCTGAAACAACCTTAGCTTCACTTCAAAACTTTGCCCCCCAAAATGCAGAAGTGGCCCAGGAAGCCAGCTCACATCACACTGTTGTCAAACATTGAATTGATTTAAGGGGCTCTTAAATCAATCTAATCTTAAATCAATCAATCTAATCAATCTGCTATCTAAAACTCTAAATAATCTCAGCAGGTATTGTGGAAAAGTCTTCTTCTGGTGTTTGGTGTGAGAATTAGAGCGTGCGTGGAGGAGTCTTTTACTTATTGGGGCCCTCAGCTGTGGAAAAGGAAGTTTGGATGTTTTTAAAAGCAAACTAAAAACACGTGTCCATACATCTTAATTGAAGTTAAAGCTATTTCTATCCTTCACAGTTTATTATTCTATTTCATGTTTGATCTAAGGAGTGGTTCTTTTACAGTTCATTTTTTACAGCAGAGTTTCTTTTCTCTCACACTTACTGTTATGCATAACCAAACAAAGACTATAATTTTGTACCTGTAGCCTTGTGTTTGTTGTGTCCCCTGCAGGGCTTTGCCAATGAAGGCTATTACTACTTTCTTTACAGAATGGCTTTTTATCAGGTAATGGTAATGGGAACATGAATTACAAGGAAGTGCAAACAAAATAACAAACCAAAAGAAAGAGCAAAAGAAGAAAAAGAATCTACTGTTGATGTAAAGAAAGTAAATTGGGTGCTCGCGTTAAGGGTTGCTAAGTATCTTCTGCGTTGGAAGAACTGGAGTCTAAAAAGTAGTCTAATAATGTTACTCCAAAGTATTTGAACTAGACAAACTAGATACTCATATTCAGGGTTGCGAGATAAGTATAAGTATCCTCTGATCTAATTCCTTTTCTGGGTTAAAAGTGAGTACTCCATAGTTTCTTTATAATAATAAAGGGGAATGAAATAAAAAGAGGAAAGGACACATTAGGGCACATAGCATCATTCAGACAAAACAAAGACATGTCACAGGGCCAGGAAACCATGTCACTCTGCCTCCCGGCATGATGCCCTTGGGAGCGTTCGGCCCCATAGCGGCATGGATAATAGGAGGAGGAGGTGGGAAGGAGTATTATAAGGAGTATTGTAATCACATATCGGGTTTACATATCTTCAAGGAGACTGAAACTATGCAGCCCTTCCAAGACTGAAAAAGCCATTTCAGATACAGAATGTCTAAATGATAAATTTCAATCTCCTATAAAGTCTCACCGATACATCTCAGTTCCCAATCAGGACAAGAGGGCTCTCCTGTGTCCAGTTTTCTCATAGAGAAAATTTGATCAATTACATTGAGAGATTGCTTGACCAGATCCATAATTTGTAGATTTGGAGGATGTGCAAAGAAAGGCTCCAAAAATAGAGAAAAAGACAGGACAAAAACAGAACAAGCAGGGCATGGAGGGAGCAGAGGAAGAAAGCGTCCACTTTTACCAAAAGCAAGAAGGAAAAACATTCTTCTATAATTTCTGCAAGTAGCAGATGCCCTTACCTGAGTTGTTGACCTGTACAATCAGGACAGACAAATATGAACTTTTTGAGATGAGTGAAGAGTTGTTGGGGGTCCCCCTGCTGGCGCGGGAGCCCGAAGCAGCGTTTTAGTTTGCTCGTGTCATGGTTTGTCTTTATTGAGGAATATATTGATGTTATCAGACTTTGATTATTAAGATAACATAAATAATGTTGTCTCAAACTGGCAACACATCAAACCATTTTTGACGCTCTGTGAAAGTTTGAATGACTATTGTAGCTATAAAAAAATTAAAAAAAAACGTTAAACCCCAGATTATTATCGACGATTAAAATGATTTAAATTCAATCAAGAACTTTGATTCTATGGAAATGCAACAGGCAACTCTCAAACTGGTTATTTTCTGGTTATTTACATTTGAACAAAATAGGGTTAGCATTGGAAATTACTTCCACGCGGATTAATGGAAAAATTGTTACTGGTGTTACAGCAATAAAATGCTTCTGAAATTCCTGAAAAGCTCTCTGGATGTTCCTGCTGGCAATTTGATTCATGGTTTTTCTTTGGTGATTTGCTCCAGGTCTTTGGGGCCGTTGGCCTCGTTTTCTCCACCTTAATTTCTGCTCCCTCCTGTCTTATCAGCTTCAAGTCGGCACTGTGGCTGAGTCACTCCCAACGGTTAAAATACAAGATATTTCACACTCATTGTTAGGAAAAAAAAAGTACGTTATAGCTTTTTCCTGCCAATCAACGAATCAAAAAGAATAAGTCAAAGTTAATATTCAAGTGAAACACTAAAACCCACTTTGTTACAGGTAAAGTCAAGGTACAGTAAACGTGAAGCTCTAGTTTTATTTTATTTTGTTTTTAGATGTGCACAGTAAGTTTCTTTGTTGTTGTTGAAAGTTGGCCATTTGTTGAAGACGTCGTTCTTGCCTGCAAACTTATTTATGAATAAACTACGCCTGTTACGTAGGATGGCCCAGGACTCTTGAAATACAGACTGTGTTCAGTTTGTTGTTGCAGAATATTTCAGCTCCAAGTCAGGGTGTTGTTGATATTTTAAGCGCAGGCGTAACTTAGCTGGTGAAGTATAATCTGGAACAGTCTTGACAGAGATGGAAAGTTTGACTCAACAATAAATAAACTGACGCTCTAAGATGAAAAACGACATGACTAGCTGAAAACATTAGGAGAAGAATATATCTTTGAGGAATTATTGGTGTCTCGGGTTGACTTTTACAGACACAACTCATAATACACCCATAAGCAGAGGACAGAGAGGTAATATTTACAAAGTGTATGAGATGACAATCTGCCTATGTGTCATTCATGTGGAGGTTGTGGATTAGCTAATTTAAATTGAAGTTTAAAAGGGAGTTATCAAGTTTAATAATTTGTTCTTGTGTATTAGGCAGTAAACATGTCTATTTTTTGCATGGGGTTACTGTTTTCTTTAAATAAAAAGTAGATATTTGGACAAGGGAGAAGATACTTACATCAGATAAACTGTGTGGGGAAAAAATGCAGAAAGAGAACCCGAGAGATGTTGGTCCACGTTGGTTTTTAATGGTCTGGTAAGTTAAAAATTAAAAGCCTAAAATGTACCAAAATGTCTGCTTTTAAAAACAACTCAATGTCGATATTTTACGTCTTCTACTTCTCTGTGCAGAGCAACGTTGAGATGATCCATGAGTTTTAAAAAAAGAGTCTCCATTGCACCATGGTGTCTTCACAACCGCTGTCATAATTGTAAAAATTCTCTGTGCAGCTTTAATTATGCTGGTAAATCTTTTTGATAAGTTTCCAACATTGAATATTTGTGGTTTTTAAATAAATTACACAAAGAGCTGTAATAAATCAGCTCAAACTTCCCACAAGGCACATGGTTTCAGGTCTTTATAAACCCAGTGAGGCAGAACGCAGCTGATCTAACATTTCATTTTAAGCACCACAGGAGTGTAGCTTCAAGCGAAGTAAAACATCGGACAGGGTTTGCAACAGCATCAGCCCACGTTGTAGCAGAAACTGGTAGAGAATCCTTCTGAATGTCTTTTAAAGTTTTTTCTTTTTTAGACACCAGTATAACCAGTTGTTCTTATTACACTGACGGTTTGGCACTTAAAGAAGTCAATTCAATCATAAAAACAGATTCAAAGTCTGTTGCATTCATTCCAATTGATCCAACTGATCAAACGTTGCAGTCAAGTATGATTCAAATTAGTTTTAGTGTTTAAAAAACAAACAAACAACGTTCCAATCTTCTATTAGTGTGCCAAGAAACTATAGTAGGTGAAAATGTACTTGTTTTAGAAAATTTTTCAATTTGTTGACTAATAGGAAGTGTCAAATTGTATTTTGATCTGATTCAATTCATCAGAAGTTCAGCATTGTTAGAAAAATCAACGTATGATTATGGTTTATGCAACTTTACATCCTCTCTATTGTCACTAGATATAATAAATGAATAAATAAATAGAATAGAATAGCAGATGCACCCAAGGGCAAAACCATGTAATGAGACATTCCAGTTTAACGAAACTCCTCTTACAAACTTAGACACGCACTGCTCTTCTGGTGTCAGTCAAGTTGTCTGAAAACGCTCTGGATTGTCTTCGTTGGCAGCCATTCAGGATGCAAACATACTTGGTCTCAAAGCGTAGCCCATTGATATATAATAATATATATGAAGCAATAGAAATCAACTGCAGTCATTAGCAAACACTTTGAGGAAATGTGTGTCTGCTGAGCTCAGCATACAAAGTACTTCTCAGTCCAAATCTCCTGACGACGTTTGTAAACGACGTGATGGAAAGACATTGTTGTGATGGCGTGCTGAAGGCAGAGTGCAGGAAAGAACAGGAGCTTCTTAAAAAGGCAGAGACCAATTTTAAGGTAGAAAATTGTATGGTAAAATTTCTTTTCAATTATGTTTGACATGTATAGCATGTTTATAACAATCTACTTGCTTGATTGTGCTCTAAAATGACACTATGTGCCTGGAAAATGCATAATGTCACACCTACCAAATATAATCAGCAGGTGGCAGCGTTGCATGATCACCAGGGCAGTTATTCTGTGAGATCCATTCAGCCGAGGCAAGGAATGAGTGTTAAAACATGTTCATCAAGAGCAATTACACTTGGAAATAAGCCAATGTGCGGCACAATAAAATTACCATGCCGCTAATGATGTCAGAAGATTGACGTGGTTTTGTCCTTGGGTACATTGTGAAATCTATAGTCATGCTTTTTTCTTGGAATTAGACACTTCTTATTTCATTTTGGGCTTCAGTTATGGACGCCTCTAGTTGTATTTTGGAGCAGCGTGGGATATGAATTGCTTCATACTATTTAAAAGTAGGTTGTTTAACTCTGGGGCCTGTATTGAGTTACATGAAGGGGTGTGTCTGTTAGCCTTGTTACATACATGAAATGAGCAACATGTCATGAATTTGACATGCTGAACAAGCCACAGAGCAAATATTGTCTGGAACAAGCCAGAGTAAGTGATATTTTAGTAAATCGGTGGCAACCAAGTAAAATGTAACAAGCTCAGCTTTTTGTGATTTTGTTGTGGTAATATATTTAAGCTTCTGCAGATATAAGGCTATAGGGACAAGTTTTGTTGCAGCAATGTTTTCCTCATCTGAAACAAGCATGTTAAGACAATTGTCTATCAGGATGAACTCCAAGTGGATAATCAGAATACCTTATCTAACTCAGAGACGGATAAGATAAGATGACATAGAGAGCATCCAGAAATTAAGCTACTGCAGATATAAGGTAGCCTTGTTTTGGACACAATTTGTGGATTCCTTTATAACAATGAAAACAAGCTGTTAACAATCTTGCTGTCAGTATAATGTATCTTCTAATGTAGTACACCACTGCTCTATATTACAGATTTTATTTCAAAACCCAACCTGTCCTGTGTGTACTCCGACACTCGTCCGATGACTGTTGGAGATAGGTATCAGTCTGCCTGCGTCACTGACAAAAAGGTACACAAATGAGGGCCGGATGGATTCCAGTAAACCTAGAAGGGTGTTTACTAAATATCTCTGATGTTATGCATGATGTTTGTCACGCTGCATTTTAACAACACTAGTAATCCATAACTGAACTGTGTTCACCTTTCATTGCAGCAAGTAAAAGCACATAAAGTGGGGGTTCCACAGAAAAGCAGCATTAACACATAAGACTGATAGGACCAGATCTGAGTAGACGGATGAAATTCTCCTCTGGTTTACTTTGTGTTTCACTCCGTAGATTTTGGCATCTTTTCTTTTCCTTTCTCTATGAGAATTTTACATTTTTGGAAAATATTGGCAAATTGGAAACTTAAAATGTGTCTCAAGTTTGAGCTGTAAAAATGTTTGAAGGTTACAAATGACATAATAGATCCATTATTAAAATTATATATAAAATAAGATGGGTTATGATGGGTGTGTTCCTGGGAACACATTGAATTTGGTAAACATTCTTTATAGGAGACGGACAGGAAAATCCTGTTTGTGTTTATGGCATCCTTAATGTTTCACCTATAGGGAACTTGCTTTCTTTTTCAATTGGTTGAGTCACCGACTCACTGTATTATATGTTTTGTTTGATGAGCCGATTTATCATGTTGTGCAACAACAACCGCAAATGAGAAAAGAGCAGCATGTGGCCTACCAAGTGCTTTCATTCTGAAGTAAACTCATAATTCATGTCTTAGATTGCTCTATTCTATTCAAAGCTATCCTTAAATTAAGCAAACAACATCTGCCTCATTGTTATGCCATGTTTTATTAAAATCTCCAATAACACTCCATCAAATATCAGAAAGAATTGAAGAGAGAGCTTTTTTAAATTTTATTCCGAGCTGTTATGTTATCCCCCTCGTGCGATGACGCCCAGGGCAGAGAGCCATAATACCACCTCTGGGAGTTCAGGAATTCAGTCCGAGTTATGAGCATTCCCTGTCTGCATGTTTGCCAGGATAAAATAAAACCCCAGGCGGTGACGAGGCGTGGACTGACCTCAGCGGGATCTTCACCGCCAGATATCTGTCGATCACGATGGCCAGCAGGCTGAAGATGGAGCTCTGAGTGAGTACCAGCACGAAACAGGCGACGGTGTGGAGCAGAAAAGCCTGGAAATCAGCCGGGAATGGGTTTTGGTCTCTGAGCCCTCGGGCGGCACAGCATTGGACACGGATTAGCGGAAGATGAGCTCAGGAACCGCTCAGCGGCGCTCGAGTGAAAACACTGCTGCGTCCTAAAGTTAAATCTCTACCAGGACTCAAGAGCTCCCTGATGTTGCAACTTTTACGGAAAATCACAGCGTAGGATCAAGTTAGACCAACGTGGTCCATTTTTTATCACACCTTTATAGTAATCGGTGACTTAAAGCTAAAAAAAAAACCAGAATAAATAAGAAAAACCTGCTGCAATAATACCGATTTTTGATTTTTCTTTGTGTTTTGCTCAATTCAGTTTGACTCTCTGTTTAAGTAACATTCAAATTTATAGAATATGATTGAAAATAATCCATCCATCCATGTTCTTACGGCCTAGTATGGGGTCAGGAAGTGTGCTGGTACCTAATTCCAGCGGTCAACAAGTCAGAGACTGGGTCACCCTGGACAGGTCACCAGTCCAGTGCAGGGAAACAGAGACACACGCACACACTCATTAAGGAGAATTTAGAGAACCCACTTAACAGTCATACTGTGGACTCTGTGGGCACCAGGTTGGTGACCCCTGCTCTATATCTAGGCCACTGAACCAGGCTTGGATGGTAAACAATTTACAATTGATACAACTAAATGTTGCTAATGAAGGTCATTCTACACTAAAATAACTAAACATGTATGCAAACAGATCACGAACATGGCATGTAGATTATTTCATTTTGTGATGTAGTTTAGTCAAATGTTCAAACAGGTGAATAAAATATCAGCACGAACCAAAGAACAAGGATTTCTAGAATCGGATTCTCACCACCTGAAGGCTCAAGTAGCGTCAGGACAGTCAAAGCAGTGTATTACATGCCTCGAACATTACACAAGATTAAAGAGTGAAACTCTTTCCTTTTAGGTTTGCTCAAGCCAACTTGTCATATTTTGCAAATGTCCAGTGTTTGGGGATTCGTTTTTACAACATCTTGTGGAATGATGCAACATGTGGATATGTCTTCATGCAACTGTTGGTTCTATTGTCAAGCTCCTGAACGCCCCATATTATAGCACTTAACGCGTTTAAGAAACTACAAATTGCAAGTCTAAACATGTGGTGCTTCAAAGTTTTGGAAAAGTTTCCTCAAATTGGACCAAAATCGGTAAAGTCTGAGGAAACACAAGACTAAGACAAAATTTTCTCAATGATTTCAGAAAAGGGATGCAGTTTTTTGGTAAATAACTCTCCATACATTAGTAAATTTGAAGTGCTTTATTATTATTGACTCTACTGAACAATGGGACTTTTTTGCTTTTTATACTCATTACCAAAACAACCTCGAATGAAAGAAGGGAATGGCCATTTCCCCTCTCCCAGACGGGTTAGCCAATCAGAATGCTACTTCCCTGCACACGACTGGACCATGAGCTCCTGATTATGATCAATTAGCATACAGTACTCAGTCTTCTGTTGTCCATGGCTCGACCCCCGTTGTCCATGGGCTCCAGAGGTGACGACCATGAGCTCATTCCATAATTCAATCAACATACAGCACTCAAATACTTAAAATGTGTTGAAAATGTATGAAATGAGCATGAAACATACAATTTATCAAAGAACATAGAAAATTCTCATATCAGACACTCAGATACATTAGACATAAATTAGACACTACATGCATAAACAGAGTGGAGGACATTATTTTGTAACATCTGCAGAACTGAATTTTCCTTGTTCAGTCAGCTGCAACACACCCCACTCAACATAATGTAATTAGCAAAGTACCTAGGGTCACATTTCCTGCTGAAATGATGGTTTTATTTTGTTCTTCCCTCTAGCCTAGGTTGTTGTTAAGGTGGAGGCATAGTGGGGCTAACGTGGTTTACGTGACAATCCATGCGGTTCATGCCACTCTCTCGGGTAGTTTCTGCCTGACTTAAACTATATTTAAGGATAGCTCTGCATTTATTTTTTTCTTGAATGCGTGATATGAAACATTTCTGTTTGTTTCAATGCAAAGTCAAGTGGTAGCCTCCAGGCAGCTGTTTGTTCCCACTGATTAGACTCAACTAAGTCTTGGTGGTTTGCGTTAATTTGCTGGTGGTGGCAAATTAATTACCACCAATTGGTAACAAATTCTGTATCATCCCAGACCACCCCTGCTTGGCGATCAAATTTGTCACATATTTGTATTGCTTCATGCTTGGTCAGGTTTTAGGCAGCACCATTTTGGAAGAGTTTAAAAGAATAAAAAATAACATCTCAAATCTGGCATGACTTAGTTCACATCAACATGACTTATGCATTTGTTTTTCAACCTGTATAATGATCTAAATTCAGCAGGTATTTCAAGACTTGTCCTACTAGGTATGCCAAGCCTGTTTTTTGGGTGCATGCCAGATAAAAATTTTCCTAAGGTGTGAAGTGGAAAGATTTTTCCACACTCTTCTTTCTCTTCAGAGAGCTGATTGCGTAATAAAACAAACCCAAGCATTTACGTTCAACAAGAAAATGTCAGTTGCTGAAGTCAGATGATGTTTTCAAATTTTCTCTGGTGTTTTGCCGTCAGCCAGTAGCTTGTCGAGCGTCACAGAGCCGAGGATTCTTTCTTTCAAATGTTTTTGATAAGCATGTTGAATAACTTGGAAGAACCCACTAATAGGTGAATCCACAAATACTGAAACACAAATAGGCACCATATAGTGATAAACTAACAGGTAACATTTGCACACCTAATATAATGTAGCTGTAAACCTTTTTTTGATGATGGGTTTTATTTCGTAGAGCCATGCAGTTATTTATTATCAAAAAGACTGACACTTTTGACCTTCACTTCTAGTTCTACTACAAGTATTACAAAAGAATAATGTGACACTTTTTGAGGTTCTGATTGGCCACATCTTCCTTTTTGGAGTGGAAATGGGTGAAAGTGTTAATATTGTACAACGCTTTGAGTGGTCAGAGAGATGCACAATGTGAATTCAGTCCATTCAACTTGGTTGCAGAGATGAGTTTTGTCAAGGTGGTTTATTATTTAAATGTCCTGATGACATTTAAATAATAAATGTTGGAGTCCCCTGTCTGGCATGTCGGCAGTTTGGGTGACAATTAAGGGTTCAAAAGACACTCTGAATCTGCAGGGTTTAGGGTCTCAGACATAAAGCTGAGAAAGGAACATTTATGAATAGAAATGTTGGATTTTTGTACCTGCTGTCGTAAAAATCTGTCTTCCTCTCTCTTTGTCTGTTTCAGAAGCTTACAGTGACCTCCAGTCATGAGTCCCCGCTGCAGAGTGAACTTCAACACTATGATTTTCCTGGTCGTCCTGCAGGGGGCAGCAGTTGTGCTCTTCTGCAACTGGTACTACCAGCTGAGCCCCTGCGACTCCCCTCCCCGAAAAGGCAAAGTTCACGTTTTGCTGCTGTCGTCGTGGCGATCGGGTTCATCCTTCCTGGGTCAGGTTTTCAGTCAGCACCCGTCTGTTTTCTACCTCATGGAGCCCGGGTGGCACGTTTGGACCAAAATGGAGAGACCTGGTGCACGAGTTCTCCGAATGGCGATGAGGGATCTAATGCGGAGCTTGTACCAGTGTGACTTCTCAGTGATGGATTCCTACATGCCTGAGAACTACAATATGTCCACATTGTTTATGTTTTACCACAGTCGGGCGCTGTGCTCACCTCCAGCATGCTCCCTCACACGGCGCAGTGACATGAGCAATGAGACTCTTTGCCAAAAGAAATGTGATTCTCAAGGCTTGGAGAAGGTGGAGAAGGCCTGCCACACTTACAGCCATGTGGTTTTAAAAGAAACTCGTTTTTTTGAGCTGGAGTCCCTTTATCCCCTTTTTCAAGATCCGAACCTGGACCTCCGCATCGTTCACCTCGTTCGAGACCCGCGGGCCGTGATACGGTCGAGAGAGGAGTCAGCCAAGTCTTTTGACGTGGACAACGCCATCGTCTTGGAGCAAAGAAACGTACCAGCATCCAGTGTTCAGTACGAAGTGATGCAGGAGATCTGCCGAAGCCACGTACGCATCAATGAAAGAGCAATTCTGAAGCCGCCTCTGTTTCTGAAAGGTCGCTACAAAATGATTCGGTATGAAGACGTGGCACGCAACCCGCTGAAGGAGATTAATGATATTTACGACTTTGTCAGTTTAGAGATGACCAATCAGATGGAGGAATGGATCTACAAGGTGACCCATGGAAAAGGGAAAGGCAGCAAGAAAGAAGCTTTCCAGATCACCTCCAGGAATGCCAATGAGGTGTCGCAGGCGTGGCGCACCGTGCTGCAACACAGCAAGGTCAAACGCATTCAGGACCTGTGCAAAGGGGCCATGTCGCTTCTCGGCTACCGGACAGTTGACAGCGAAAAAGAGCAGAGGAGACTCGAGATAGATCTGCTGGTTCCACGTGAACCTTACGAGTTCAGCTGGGTTTCAGCTAAATCTCAGCGCACAGGGAGCACCTAAAGCATCACGCTTCCTGGTTCAGGTCCCCTCAGAGGCAACAAGCTCGAATGGTCTCCCTGTCGCTGTAAAACGTGGCTTTGTGAGATACAGACTCCTCAGACTGCCTGTTTTCAAGATCTGAAGAGAAATTACAGCTATTTTGCGTGACAGTATAGCATGTGAAAGTGGGAAAAAATACCCAGTAGAGGGTTTCAGTAGAAACCTTGTTCCTAAAAACCTCTATGCGCGATGTTTAGCTGTGCAGGGTTGCACTCCATTGCATTTCACAGGACGTCACTCACAACTACCTTAAGAGTCACAATTGAGCTTGAAGACAAAATAATGGCACTTGTTTTCAATGCTTTCCACTTCTTTTCCACTGGCGTTTGTATTTGTATGTTTTTTAAATGATCATGTAAACCTTAGCAAAATGGTCTACATGCACCTTATGCTAATTAGCATACAGCGTTTCTCTTATGATTATTGGGCCCAGCGATTCCTGGAGTCTCTCTACTGCTTTGGAGGAGAAACTTAACAGGATCTATGCAAACTTGATTCTCACAATAATCAGGGGTTTCACCGGATAGATCTGATTTACCTAAATTTGCATACAGTGGAATGGTGTGCGCTCATCTTGTCTCACATTTAATTTAGTGTAAATCAACATGCTCTTTGACCAGTGTTGAGGGTACATGTGTATTGTCTTGAGAACGCCGAGCTTAATATGGCTTTTTATTCCTGAGAAACTTGAATAGAGCTCAGCTCGTTGTGGAGTACTGATTTGGAGACGAGACGCCTGAAGACGAGATCCTTTTAGGACAAGCTTTGGCTTTTTCTTTTTATCAAGGATTCAACAATATTTTGCCTCGAACACAGGATTTGGTTGTCTGCTACGTGTGTCTTACCACCTTACACCTTTTGTTTTAAAAATCCTTTCATAATTGCACTAAAATTATGAAACAGAGAAAGTTTATAAGCAATAGCAATATTCAGAGATAAATCATTTCTTTTGTATGAGTAATAAATATCTATATTTTTGTATGTTTTCACTTTTCCACTTGAGTGGCTTTAGTTTTCCAACTGGTTCCAAATAAAGACTGGTTTCATTTCATTATTCTCATCAAAGTGCCTGGAAATGGGATTCAGTTTATGTGACTTTCGTTGACATTTTTTATAATTCCGAGTCTTTGGTGATTTAATGTCGAAGCTTCGTTTTGATTTTTACGTGTAGGATTTTTACAACAAAGATATCCCTCTGAGTGGACCAGATTTTTCTTTACATTGTAAATGTATCGTTCAAAATAGTCAGACGTCGAGGAGGTAGCTTGATTATCTGTGTTGACTGAGTACTTTAGGTGAAAGTGTTGATGAATCAGACCTTTATAGTTTCAGTTTTCATTTTCAATTCTCACATGACTGAAGTAATATCTACTGTTTCAATGAAACTGATGCGCCGCGGTTCCTTTGTGGTTCAACACAGTTCAGATTGATCAACATAAGAAAAGCAATTCAGTTTTAGAAAATTAGGGTTGCAGTAATAAATGTGTGCAAGTGCCTGATTTGTTGTTTTTTTTCTGTGAATGTAAAGAGAACGGAGCCCAGTTGGGATGTCACTTAGTTTTACTCTACGTTGATTCACATGTTGGACTTTTATAAGAACCCCTGATCTTTCTGACCCCTGTTTTTTTTTTTATTTGTGTTTTGAATAATAGTTTCTGTTGCATCTACTTTATTTTTCTTCCATCGTTTTGGTTTCGTGGTTCTTTGTAGCTGCAAATGTTTTGACTCCTATTTTTTTCTCATAAGAAACAAATACATTATATTAATTTATAAATTAATGATTAATGTTTTTTTTAGACACTAACTCCTAGGTTTCTGATTGGTTAGCTGAAGCTGTTTAATGGTCATATTGTGTGATTTTATGTCAATTTCTTGTTTTTCGCCTCCTTTGATGTTTGTGCAGTTTCATTTCTTGATATTTTGTCAGCTTTTCTTTCATTTTAATTAATTTTTTAAATTAAAATGTTTCCGGTGCCTTCTCTGGCCCAGGAGCTCCTGTCTGGTACTGATATGTAATCCAAACTTGCACATGTTGTTGGAATATATTTATAGAAATAGTGCCTTAATGTATGTTGTTGTATGTCGATTAAAATCTAGTAAAAAAAAACAAACTGTGTTTAACGCCTGGTGCCAGTTTGCAGTGTTTCATTCTGGATAATAAAAGGTTAAACGTGAGCGTGGGTTCACCGCTCTTTCATGTTTTCTCCATTTGTGCTTAAGGTCTCTGAATTATTCTCATAACTTGAGAATAATCAAAATATTTACATACCACAATGTCACATAACGTAATGTCAAAACTGTGACAAACAATGTTTTGCTTTTCTCCATCAGCACCATCAGATCAGCACTTTTAATTTTAGAGACTACTTCAACTTTGTACCTCATGCTTATAACATCAGAAGTCCAAATTTGGAGTATCAAATGAGTCACAATCCTGACCTATTATGATACATGAGAACAGGCTTCTGAAAAGTTACTGGACCTTCAATCACATTGTCAACTTTCAAAGTTCCCAACGCGACCACCGTTGTGACTGACATTGTATTTTGATGCCGGGTTTGTTTGGCACGAATGAGCTTCCATACAGAGTCCAAAGAAAAGCAGACTTTTAGATCCGGGAAAATCGTTTTGGTCGCTCATGAAATCAGCCGCAGTAAAATGACAGTGGGAAGAAGCGAGGCAGCGCTGCGGCCAGGACGGAGGACAATGACTCAACAGAAACAGCGCGGGGCGGGGACTGCGCACCTTCGGCTGACCGCAGACAAGCCCAACCCAACTGAAGAGAAGTACTCTAAAATAGGTACTGAAGCAAATACGGTCAAACTGCCGGTTTACAGCAACTCTAAATTTAGGAAGATGAATACAACTTTTTTTAAAATGTAAAAAAATATATAATAATAATAATACTGCGCTAAAACAGCAGCTTTAACTTCACATTTTGATCAGGTCTCCACATGCCAACTCACCTGGTTTCTTCCACCCACAGAGCAATGCGCCTCCTGCAGCGGATGTGGCCCCACCTGCTGATCAGCCAGCCCATCCACTGGCTCCGCTGGACCAGGACCAGTTCACCCAGTCCAGAGGACGACGCAGAGGAGGAGAGCTGCTGGGAGCCATCAGATAAATAACACACTGAAGGTGGGAATTTATTGTTATCAAAATGAATGAATGGACGATGTGTTGAAAATATTTCTTTAACACTGTAATAGGAGGACAATTTATTTTTCTATTTGGGCAAAACTGGAGGAATTACTTATTACTTTTAATTATAATAAATCCCTCTCAATGTTGAATTTTGAAAAACATGCTTTAAAATGCTAAATATTTGCGATGAAATGACAAAATGCAAACTTTCAAGAACCACAGAATACAACAGGACACAGAGCAAATGTGCTTGTTGTAACAAAGCAAAAGGAAATATTTATCTCGGCTTCATCTCTGTTTGTTTAGATGCCTCGGTTCAGGCAACGGCTCAACGATCCACAGATCACGAGGCGTCACGCACTTTAGTTGAAATCTCTGAAAAGTTATTCAGGAAACTCTGAGGGCAAGACCAAACATCTAATGATGAGCAAAGAGGCATGGGGAATCTTCAGGGGTTTTTTGTTTTGTTTCTTTTAAATCCAGTGATTTTGACAAGAACATTGTGTTTCTTTATCTTTATTAATTTATCTTTTGCTCCCATTTGCTCTTAATTTACAGCTCTATTAGTGGCTGTGATTAATTGCTCATTTAAAGACGTTGAAAGAAAGACGTCCTGTCAGGTTTTTCCCTTAAGGCACGTTGCTAAAGACATCAAACGCTTATCCCAGCAAACAAGTGACATGATAAGTGTCTGGAATGTATATGAGTCACAACCCTTTGTTTCACAAAACCATACCAAACTATTCCTGGTTTGTTTAAAATACATATTTGTGCCACATTTCCTGATTCTTGATTTATGGCATCACCTCTCCTTCCTCATATTCTGCTGAAGACATTTTTCACTTCATGTTCAGGTAGAGACATAAGATAAATGCTGCCAGTTGATTTATTTTTCTGTCCTTCTTCATTCGCTTTTGTTTCGGATGTGCATATCGATCGTTTCAAATACTTTGGGGAGAGCACGTTTTTGTTTGCAATTTATAAAGATTTATAATGAAGCAAGCAGCGTGGATTAATCAGCCTCATTAGTAAAATACAGTCATCTTCAAAATGTGCATTCATTTAAGCTCAGCTGTCAAGTCAGAAGTATCTTTTTGAAATAACCTTTCAACGGGCATTTCTTGCGACTTTCATTTGGAAACTTCTGCTTTAAAATTGTACTTTTAGGAGACTGATGTTATATTCTGATATTAAATGTTGTGTTTTTTCTCTAATAACAGAAATAAAGGCGTGAAAACAATTTAAAAGATTTAAAAATATCTAAACAATGTGTTTTAGCGAACTGAGTTACTGAAATAAATACATTTTTCAACAATATTCTAATTTTTAAATAGGGGAGTGCATTATCATCCTGAGTCTCATATTGAAATATATTCAATGGGTAAAGTGCTGTATGCAGTGATCCTTAAATTAACACTTTCTAAAAAGAAAAAAAAAAAATTCAATTGAAACTGAATGATTATATTGAATCTTGTCGATAATTAACCACGCTGATATCAGTGGAGATGAGGAAAGAAGCAGGGCGAACATAACCAAACAAACCACAACTTCCAACAGGAACTAAAAGTCAATCAAATATTAACTGGTTTATCTCTCTGGATAGTCAATAGAGAAAGCACACAGGAAGTGTTGTCCTGGGTTGTCTGGTTGGATTTTGCTCAGATCAATCTTGTGCCTGTTTTCCTGATCTTCTTAGTGACTCTCTATGTTTTGTTGAAATGTATTCCTTGTTAGTCTAGTTATTTTTACTGTGAAGTTTCATAACCATTTGCTGTCATTTAGATCATTATCATGGTGATGTTTTTTTTTTCTTTCATTTTGATTGCTACTCATTTGAAAGGACCATCAGTCCTAAAAAACGACTGTAATTACATGTAAATGTCAAATGACGATGAAGAACTTTGACCCTTAAGATACAGCCAAATGCTGTAAAATCACATCTGGTGTCAGTCACACTCTGACCACCAGATGGCAGCAAAATGCTCCTAATAAAATCCTTTGTGGTTGGAGAACGTCCACAGCTGCCTGGGCTGAATTAAGACATAAAGATTTATAATGAAGGCCAAAAACACCAGCAGGCGTATCAGGGATGAAGTTTAGAAAAGATTAAAGTGTTCTATCTTTAAGAAATATAAACAATGACGAGGCGACATATTTATATTTGTTTAAAATAGATATTGATTTATTCCATATGGGAGGATTAACTGATGGCGTTTCCAATACTGGATGTAAAACATTAAATATTAAAATCCTCACCTGGTGCAACACCTTATTTCTGTCAGAGGCTGATTTTACAAACATATACATGCTTTATTATAAATACAGGGGCAACATCTATTGACAATTCTTCGAAAAGTAACACTTTAAAGCTCAAGATTTGTAGCTTGTCTCTATCTTAAGGTACTTCCTAGATGTTGATAAAGAGCAGAAGCTCTCTGTAATTTTTGTCAAAAGCCATCATATTTCAGTTTTGAGAACCGTATCAATATCTCTTATTTTTCTGTTTGCCATTTTTTCTGCAGAAAAGTCGCCTCAGACCCGTGGAAGCTGATCAACTTCAGCGTGAATCAGTTGAATTTGTCTCCACAGACTGAATAGCAAGGCTGATTTTCTCCTGCTCAAGAAACTGACACTGATCTCCAGACATGAGACTCTTCTTCAAAGTGAACTTCAAAACTCTGATGCTCCTGATGCCCCTGGTGCTCCTGCAGGGGTCAGCAGTGGTGATGTTCTGCAACTGGTACTACGAACTCAGCCCTTATGACTCTCCTCCTGTTGACCGCAAAGTCCACGTTTTGCTGCTGTCGTCGTGGCGATCGGGCTCGTCCTTCCTGGGCCAGGTGTTTGGCCAGCACCCGTCTGTTTTCTATCTCATGGAGCCCGGGTGGCACGTGTGGAGCACAATGAGAACTTCTGGGGCGAAGACTCTCCGGATGGCTGTGAGGGATCTAATGCGGAGCGTGTTCCAGTGTGACTTCTCAGTGATGGATTCCTACATGCCAAAAGATCGCAAGACCTCCTCCTTCTTTACGTGGTATCAGAGTCGGGCACTCTGCTCGCCGCCAGTCTGCTCCGTCACACCATTTGGTCAGATAAGCAACGTGGAAGAGTGCCAAAAGGAATGCCATGATCTAGCTTTTGAGAAGGTGACAAATTCCTGCCAAATTTACAGCCATGTGGTTTTAAAAGAAACTAGAATTTTTGAGCTGGAATCCCTTTACCCTCTTTTTCAAGACCCCAATCTTGACCTACGCATTGTTCATCTCATACGAGATCCTCGGGCTGTGTACAGGTCCAGAAATGAGTCAGCTTTATCCTTTGAGATGGACAACGCCATCGTCTTGGAGCACAGAGCTGCACCACAAGGCAAGGAGCAGTTTCTCATCATGAAGAAAATCTGCCAGAGTCACATCCGGATCAACAAAACAGCTACCCAGGACCCTCCTGCTTTCCTCAAAGGTCGCTACAAGCTGGTTCGCTATGAAGACGTGACACGCTCCCCGCTTCAGGAGATCATTGATATTTATGACTTTGTAGGTTTAGAGATGACCAAAGAGATGGAGGACTGGATACTTAAGATGACCCACGGAAGGGGGACAGGCAACCTGAACAATGCTTTCGAGGTTATCTCCAGAAACGCTGCCCAAGTGTCCCAGGCTTGGCGCACCATGGTGCCATACAATGAGGTCAAAAGTATTCAGGAAGTGTGTAAAGAGGCCATGTCAATGCTTCGCTACAAGGCAGTGAACAGTGAAGAAGAGCAGAAGAGACTTGACATGGATCTGTACATGCCAGAACGACCAAAAGGCTTTGCTTGGGAATCAGGTAAATTGCAGAGCCATTAAGACATTCAAGGATCTACGAGGTGCTTCAGATTCCTCTGGAGACTACAAGCATGGACAATGCAACGCATATTTATTTTATTTGAAACTGCATTGTCCATAATCACTTCTATAACAGTATTTACTGTCTTATAGACTGATTTATTTGTTCAAGAGATTTAAATGTGTTGCAAGAGTACAGTGGTACCGCATAACGGCACAATCTGTGTTGTGAAAAAGTTAAGGCCATGCAAAGGACTCAGCTTTATTAAGAGCTGGTGAGTCGATTTTAGAAATGAGTGATCAATTAAATCTCATCTCCTGTTGGAACAAAGCATTCTTTCCAAAACATTTGAATAGATAGTAGATATTTTTTTGTCCACTATTTCTTTTCATACAAAGCAGTTTAGTCCATCCTGAGTATAGCCATGAAATAGACAAGAGGTTGCCACAGTGTTTGAATGTGTTACAGATCTATAGGAAGTGCCTCTACTTCTGTTTATCGTCCTGAGCCACCATTTTGTCCCTTATTTGTCCTTCTGTGTTATACCTACATCGTGGCATGTGAGGTCATTATCATTGTGATGAATTGTTTACATGAAATATCGGATTGTTGCAGGTCACTCTTTCTATTAGTCGACAGCAGCTTCCATCATCTGCTGCTTGCACAACATGGGAGTTAAGAGAAATTGAGCTGCCGACAACTGTTTTCATAGGAGTGCGATTCTTGTCAAGACAGCACTGTCTTGTTGCCTCGCAGCAAGAAGGTCCAGGATTTGAATCCCGGCCCGGGGTCTTTCTGCGTGGAGTTTGCATGTTCTCCCTCTGCATGGTGGGTTCTCTCTGGGTTCTCCCCCACAGTCCAGTAACATGACTGTCAGGTTGACCCCGCCTCTGACCCGTTGACCGGCGGAGTTAGGCACCAGCGCCCCAGACGACCCCAATGGGATAAGCTTGTATAGCGTCGGTGGATGGATTACCATAAAGCAATTAGATTTTGTCACTTTGGCTCATTTAAGGGATTTTCAAATGGAGTTTTTAAATTCTTTAGTGGAGTGTTAGTTTTCTAATGTCGTCTAGTAACTGAGGAAATGTTTCCCTTCATGCGATAAATAAGTGCATAAATGTTTGATTTATGAATGAAGCACTTTTCTGTGTTCTGTATTTCACTGGATGGACTGATTGAATTATTCTGTTTAAGAAGGTGTCTTCTGTTGTGGATTAAAGTATTTATATTATAATGTGCAATTCTCACGAAGTATTATTATTATTATTACTACTATTATTATGTCCTGTCCAGGGTGTACCCCGCCTCCCGCCCGGAATGCAGCTGGATATAGGCACCAGCAACTCCCGACCCCATTAGGGAGAAGGGTGATCAGAAAATGGATGGATGGATAGTATTATTAGTATTATTATCATTATATGCTTGTTTCATCTGAATCAAGATAAAGCAAATTGTCTCTAGAAGCTCTCCAGATTGTAATTGTATACATTTAAAAGCAGGACTTATTAAAACAGTTGCTCAACTATGAGATGCAAATGTTTTACCAAAAAACAATAAAAACTTTCAATTTGCACAATTTACAAATTAAATTGCAATTTGCGAGTGTACAAATTAAGGTTATTAATAATTTAACTTTCTTTTCGTTTGTTTTGCTTTTACTTGAATGAACCAGTAACTGATGGTAGACGTAGAACCTTCATGCAGTCTGTGGGCTTATTAAGTAAAATCTGTTTGAATTGCAGACAGGACCTTCTTGTTTTGATTTCATGGGAGAATTACCCAACACGATATCTTGTTGAGTAACAACGAGATACCGTTGTGACAGTTGCATCTGAACTCACAGCACATTAAACATTAAAGCAGATGAGCTACAGCAGCAAAAGACCAGCCCGAGTATCCATCCTGTTCGTTAAAAACACTCAGCAGAGGCTATACTTGTTGCAGATCAACTAAAAATCATTTAAAAAAACAGTTATTTTGGTATATTGTGACAGATTTCTTCTGCCTAGATTATATGATTTTCCCTGGTTTGTCAGATGCCCCATCTATCAATCTGGTTTCCTGGAGATGACAATGTGTTTATTGTCTGGTTTTTCTCCTGGTCTCCAGAGTCACTGGATTTCAGTTCAGTGGAACATCTTTGGGACGGTGGACTGACGGATTCACATCAAGTGCAGTTGACGGTTCTGCAGGACCTGCATGATGCACCAGAATCCCCAAGGAATGTTTTCTTGTTGAATCTGTACATTAACAAAATAAATCAATAAATCAAAGCAGTTCTGAAGGCCAAAGAGGCTAAACAAGACGCTGTCAAAGTCAGCTTAATAAACTGACTGGTGCATTATTTTTCTCATTTTACCAAATCTTTATTTTCTACATTTGCCAGTAAGTGTGCATTCCTCTAATCATCCAGACGCCTACATACAGCCACAGCACGGAGCTGTGTAAGGATGGAGCTACCTACAGTTTCTCTGACGTCACTTACCTGCAAATTACAAGTAACGGTCCTTGGAGTGTGTGAGTGCCCCCCAGTGGCCAAATAGTTACTAGCTGACAGATGAGAAAAGAGGCTGGAAGTCCCTGTTGTCGAAGTCGCTCCAAACTCGGCATGCTGAGGTGAGTAAAACCTCACAAAGCGTTTGGTTGGAGGAACAGCAGATTAAGTAATATTATCCGCTTAATACGGAGTCATTTAAGCTGTTGCGGAAATGCCACTACACTATGTCTTGACATAGTCGACATTTAAAAGAAAAAGGTGATCACATGTGCTGCAGCATCAGGTGTAAAAGGTTGTTCTTATTCCATTAAAGCTGCATATTATTGAAACCACAAGAATGCAGCCCAGAATCCCAGCAGTGCGACGCTCATAAATACCAACTTACTGAATGTTACAGTGGATTGAATTCACAATTTACTGAATGTAAACGTCCTATAAATAAAGTAGAAATAGATCTCTATGTTGTGAAAAAAGGATCAGGAAACGTTTGTTTCTTCTTGATTTTTCTATATTTATTTCTCCTCATTTCATTCTTTCTTTTTTTACTTTAATCTGTAAAATACCAGTATTTTCAGATAAACTTATAATTTTGTCTGTTTGATTGAAACATTTTCACCAATTAAATTATATGTTTTCTTTTTTGTTTGTTTTTTTTTTTTTATCAGTCACAGTAACTGAGAAGGACTTTATACCAAACACCTTTTTTTTACTTTTACAAGTGTGAACTTTGTGTTGAATATTGATAAGCCTGCTTGGCTGCTGTGGCTGTTATGTTGTTGGTTCAAAGATTAAATATGAAAATCAAACAAACTGAATCGACTACTGGCCTGAAAGCAGGGGGAACTACAAGGCTGTCTTTTGAACTAGAGGATCACCTGCCACAGATAAGAACTTTATTTGCATCCTGTTAGCCTGTTCATTTACCTTGCAGCTCTGTTGTGAGCATGTCCTGGCGAGACACTTTCCCAACAGCCTCTCCCAGTTGAACCAGTGTGACCGAAGACATCAGAGGTAAGAATTTGTTCTCATTGTAATGCTTTTTTTAAAAAAAATTGATTTCTTCTTTACTGAGTGAGGGGGTTTCTTATTTCACCAGGTGAGTCATTAACGACTTTCACTTTTACACCGAGCAACAAGTTTCAGTTCATCACTAACTAAAAGTGATCGTACTTGTAGTGAGTCAGAGATATTTCACCATAATTAGAAAGATTTAAAAAAGAGAAAAAAAAGTCTTATAGCAGGAGATCCAGTTTCAATCAAATATTTCCAACTGCAGTTCTTAAAATTTTGTGCAGCTTTTAACATTTTAAAGTATCCAATACGCCACTGACTTTATGTGGTCTGGTTTCCTGCTCTCTCGTCCTTACTGAATTTACTTTAGGATGCCAATTTTGACATCATTTGGGGCAAACAGTTGGTTCCAAAAATACAGCCACATGAACGATGCTATCACCTTGATGTGGACCAAAATCTCAGGAATGAGATTTCCTCATTCCTGAGCTTGAGGAATGAAACATTGTTGAACAAAAGCCTATTGTTGAACAAAAGTAGTTCTGTTCGGTTGAGAACTTTCCTAACAGATACCTGAAGGTCTATCACAATATTTGTGCTTTGCCAGCAGTGAAAACAAAGGGTGAATATTTAGCCTGGCACTGTCACTCGCTTTCCTTTGTTACAGTGAAAGACTGTACAGGTGACAGCTCCACCCTCACATCCTGAATCCGTCTGAATTCAAATATTTGTCGACAAGACTTTTGCTCACTGGGTATTTTCTCTCTTCCAGACCACTTTCTGTAAGCAGAAGAGACGGTTATGAGTGGAAATACCAGCAAATCAGCAGTTTCTGATACTCTTCATCTGGCAACACAAGCATGACGCATTCAGAGTCATCTAAATCCTGGGTTTTTTCAACCTCACTTTAATCTTTTAATCCAGACAGTTTTGATGAAACTGTCTGGAGCTCGTTGAAATTGAACAGAACATGCAGAACTTGTTGAAACAAGCAGCTGATGAATTTCCAAATTCTGTGTTTTTTTTTTTTTTTTTTTTTTTTTTTTGCAGAAGAAATACGTCTGTGCACCACAAAGGACAAAAGAAGGCTGATATGGACTTCACACTTTGAAGCCTAAAGTACCATAAAGTTCACAATGATTCTCCGTTGCAGATTCAGCACCTTAATTCTCCTGGGCGTCCTGCAGGGGGCAGCAGTGGTGCTGTTCTACGACAGGTTCTGGTGCGCCGGGATCCGCCCCCATCTCTCCCCTCCCCCGGAAGGCCGCAAGGTCCACGTTCTGCTGCTGTCGTCGTGGAGATCTGGCTCGTCCTTCCTGGGCCAGGTGTTCAGTCAGCATCCGTCTGTTTTCTACCTCATGGAGCCTGCGTGGCACATATGGGCTGGAAATCACAGATCCGGTGCAAAGAGTCTCCGGGTGCCTGTGAGGGACATGCTGCGGGGTTTGTACAAGTGCGACTTCTCGCTGATCAGAGGCTACCTGCCAGGAAACCCTCATCTGTCCTCCCTTTTCATGTGGACGCGGAGTCGGGCGCTGTGCTCGCCGCCGCTCTGCCCCGTCCGGTCAGCCAATGAGAGTCAGTGCAAGCAGGCGTGTCACTTTGCGAGCCTGGACAGGGTGCGGGACGCCTGCGCCACGTACACTCATGTGGTTTTAAAAGAAACCCGCTTCTTTGAGATGGAGTCCCTTTATCCCCTTCTGCAGGACCCCGACCTGGACCTCCGGGTGGTCCATCTGGTCCGGGACCCTCGGGCCGTGATGCGGTCCAGAGAGGAGTCGGCCTACCTCCTCGACGGGGACAGCGCGAAGGTTCTGGAGCACAGGAACGTGTCCGCGGCCGACAGGCAGTACGAAGTCATGCGTGAAATCTGCCGCAGTCACCTGGAGATTTATGAGAGGGGGGTCTTCGACCCGCCTCCGATTCTGGAGGGTCGCTACAAACTGGTCCGCTACGAAGACGTGGCACGAAACCCACTGACAGAGTTGAATAATATTTACGAGTTCGCAGGTTTGAAGATGACCTCCGAGGTGGAGGAATGGGTCCAAAGGATGACGCATGGACCGGGGAAAGGCGGTGAGAACGAAGCTTTCCGAGTCACTTCCAGGGACGCAGCCGAAGTGTCGCAGGCTTGGCGCACCGTGCTGAAGCACAGCAAGGTCCGGCGCGTTCAGGAGCTGTGCAAAGGCGCCATGTTGCTGCTCGGCTACAGGATGGTAAACCGCGAAGAAGAACAGACGAAACTCGATATCGACCTGTTATACCCTGGGCTCCCATAAAGAGTTCAGCTTCCAAGTTGGACCAAAAACAATGTAGGGGGGCAGCGCCGATTTATTGGTGCCGATTTCCTTGGCGATCGGCTGATTTTTACATGTAAAGGCGATGTTATCCGCTGATGCTATTAACCTCGGCAAAGGTCTAAAAATCAACCGCTGTGCTTTTCTTTTCTCCCTTGAGAGAGGTTTCACTGACCCTAACCCTGACCCTGACCCCTACTGGCCAACCAGGTCATGTCTGCACACTTACAATTAACAATAGTCACCCAAAAGAACAATCTGGACAAATCACTACTGCAGAATTACAGTCTGATCTCCAACCTCCCATTCATCAGCAAAGTTATTGAAAAAACTGTGTGTAAACAATTAAATAGTTTCCTCATGATGACCAACTGCTTTGACTCTGTCCAATCTGGTTGTTGTGCTCACCACAGCACTGAGACTGCCCTCGTAAAAGTATTCAATGATATCCATATAAATACGGACTGTGGGAGAACCACAGTGCTGGTTCTGTTGGACCTCAGTGCAGCTTTTGACATATTACTGAATCGACTGGAGAGTTGGGTTGGATTCTCCAGGTCAACTGGCTTGAATCTTACATAAAGAACAGGAATTTCTTTGTTTCAATTGGAAACTTCTCATCAAAGAGGTCAAAGGTCACATGTGGAGTACCCCAAGGTTCAATCTTAGGACCCCCCTTATTCAATATTTATATTCTCCAATATATTTATATGATCCAGAACGCCGCTGCTCATGTTCTCACCAGAACCAGGAAGATAGAGCACATAACACCAGTTTTAAAGTCCCTCCACTGGCTCGCTGTAGCTCAAAGAATTGACTTTAAAACCACTGAACGGCTACAGTGAATGTTGTTGTATCAACCTTCCTGACCTCTCAGGTCTTCTGGTTCTGGTCTGCTCTGCATCCCCAGAACCAGAACCAAAAGAGGAGAAACAGCATTCAGCATCTATGCACCAAAAATTTGGAACAAACTTCCAGAAAACTGTAAAACAGCTGAAACACTGACTTCCTTTAAATCTCAAATAAAAATGCAACTGTTCAGAATTGCATTTGAAACGTAATCAATTAAAAATGTAATGATGGAACTTGACTTAATGTATTGTTTATTCTATGTTGCATGGCTTTGTGTTTATGATGTAAAGCACTTTGAAATGCCTTGCTCCTGAAATGTACTATACATATAAAGTTTGATTGATTCTTTCTTTTTGTTCCAGTCGTCATGTGGACAGAAATGTTTCTCTATAACTGTCATGATAGGGTTTAGACTTCTTGCCCACATGCAGAACACCACAGGAGAAGAAAGTTAGTTTTAGATATTTATTACAATAATAATGCATCCTTCGGGAGGTTCAAAGAAACAACTCGGAAGTGTGCACCATGTGATGATATCACTCAGGTGTCGACGTGTTGGCAGCCAGATCCCTACATCCTCCAGATGATGATGAGTAAACACAGACAGGTGCGCCGAATGACGAGCACGCCCCTCCAGGTAAGTGTCTCTGGCGTCATCTTGTGGCCAATGTGGCGACCGGCAGCAGGATCAAAACAAACAAAGACAAGAACCTCCCAGAACCTGACAATAACGACACATTTACATGGAAAACTCGTGCGTATCAATGTGTCAATTTTAATCAGAAAAAGAAAAGTCAGAAGAATTTATTCATTTTAACCCATGAAGTCATCGCAACATTCACTAACAATATTTTAACCAACTCCCCACTAATGTCATCAATAATAACCTGACATGTTTCATGTTTGAATGTAGAAATATAAATCACATTAAAAACAGAGACGGTGGTTTTGTCATTATTTTAGTTTGAACACAATATAATCAAGAAGACTAACAACTTCCTTCCTTCCAATGGCTTCACGTTGATATTTTAAATCCTGCAGCTGCTTTGCGTTGACATTCTGGCGCCACCTGCTGGTAGAATTAGTTTTCCAACGTGAGACTCAAGAGCTGTTTTGCATGCTTAGTTTGTAGGTGTGCAGGTAAAAAGAAATGTACGGTTTGCTTGTGCATTTCTTTTACTTTTTTATTTATTTATTCATATTCCTTTGGACTCTCAGCAGTTTTGAATTGGTGATTTTGGCTCCAGTGACAAAACGTTTGGATACCAGAGCTTCATAAAAATCCATAATTGTTGTAACGACCGTTAATAACATGCATAGTAAAAATAATATTCACAGCTAGCTACTATGATAGCAGCACCTGTGAGTGAAGAGCGGCCAAAAATGACTACTAATGATGTTTTAAAGACATCAAGTTACCATTAACTTGATTTTTGACATTATGAACAAAATATGTCTTACAAATGTATCCGTCAAAAATAAATCCACCAGTGACAAAAACAGATCTTTGGTGCTCAATTATTTATTGTTTTTGGAGGAGGGTCTGCATAGGAGTTTTAAAGAACGTTTTCTATTTAGAACATTTGGTTTACATGATGTTACAATAAATAATAGGTTTGAAATATTTCATTCTATTTGTAAATGCATATAAATTGAGTTTTCTCTTTGAAATGAGAAAAACTATTGAACTTTTTCCGAATGCTTCACATTTGTGACGCATTCAAAGTCAAAAAAAGTATTTTTGACTTTGCTCAATAAATTAAAACTGCTTAGAAACGTTGTTGCTGTTGACTTGCAACAATCATCGGTCTGTGTGACAATAAGGTCCTTTCTAGTGGCCGGACAGTTTGCTCCACCATGCATGTGCTGCGTGTTTGTTGTGACAACATAACTGAAGCTTGTCATGCAATACGCCTGGCTTACAGAACTCAGTCAAATGAGATGTCAGGTCATTTGACTGTGTGAAGGTTTGTAGTTGTCAGAAATGCAGTAAAAACATGATTGGTGCACAAATAGCCTTTGGGGCGTCTGAGCAGTTTTGGTGATGATCCAAGGTTCATGTCTTCTTAGTTTACCCCCATCTGAACTCCAGCGGAACCAGCAGATCTATGTCGAGTCTCCTCTGCTCTTTTTCGCTGTCAACTGTCCGGTAGCCGAGAAGCGACATGGCCCCTTGGCACAGGTCCTGAATGCGTTTGACCTTGCTGTGTTGCAGCACGGTGCGCCACGCCTGCAACACCTCGGTGGCATTCCTGGAGGTGATCTGGAAAGCCTCTTTCTTGCTGCCTTTCCCTTTTCCGTGGGTCACCTTGTAGATCCATTCCTCCATTTGTCTAGTCATCTTCAAGCCTACAAACCTATAAATGTCGTTCATCTCCCTCAGCGGGTTGCGTGCCACGTCTTCATAACGAATCATTTTGTAGCGACCTTTCAGAAACGGAGGCGGCTTCAGAATTGCTCTTTCATTGATGCGTACGTGGCTCCTGCAGATCTCCTGCATCACTTTGTAGTTCTTCTCAGCCGCTGGCACATTTCGGTGCTCCAGAACAATGTCATTGTCCCTCCTCAGCACTCTGGCTGACTCCTCTCTCGACCGTATCACCGCCCGTGGGTCTCGAACAAGATGAACGATGCGGAGGTCCAGGTTTGGGTCTTGCAGAAGGGGATAAAGGGACTCCAGTTCCAAAAATCGAACTTCTTTAATGACGAGATGAGAGTATGCACGACAGGTTTTCTCCACTTTCTTCAAGTCCTGATTGTGGCATATCTGGCGGCACTGAGTCTCATTGGTGGCTGTGAGGGGACAGGCCGGAGGCGAGCACAGGGCCCGACTGTGAGTCCACATGAACATGGAGGACACGCTGAGTTTCTCTGAAAGGTAGGAACCCATCACAGAAAAGTCACACCGGTATAAATGCTGCAAGAGATTGCTCACTGCTGTTCGGTGAGCCTGCATGCCAGATTTCCACTTTTTAGTCCAAACGTGCCAACCGGGCTCTGAGAGGTAGAAAACGGACGGGTGTTGACTGAAAACCTGGCCCAGAAAAGATGACCCCGACCGCCACGAGGACAGCAGCAAAACCTGAACTTTGGGGCCTGAGGGAGCAAAGTCGCAGGGTTCGAAGTGAACGAACCAGCTGCAAAGGAGAACCACCGCCAGCCCGTGCACGATGATCAGGTTATTCATGGTTTTGGGGTTGAATCTCCTGTGGCGACCCATTGCTGCAGCTCAATTTCAGGTTTCAGTTGATCTGAGGTCACCGTGTTTTCTGTGAAAGAAAAAGAGACAAAAGAAAAGCATGACAAACTGGTTCTATTTTCTTTATGCACCTGCAGCAAAATTACTCTACGGGAAAAATATGTGCTTTTGTTTAAGTTCAGCACAGAGAAGCTGGAAATGGAGAAGATCCTGATAGAGAGAAGATCCATACTCCTGATATTTCCTGGGGGGGGGGTTCCAACGATTTCTGTTTTACACATTCAGTATCAGTCTCTGACAGCCGGTAACCTCAAATAAAATTATATACTTTTAACAATATGAAAAAAATTATAAAGTTCCAACATATAACATTATCTAACTCCCCTTATTTGTACGAACATCAATCAATCCTACTATTAAGATTTTGACACATACTCATTGTGTTTATTTATATATTTGTACAAGCTGATCTTTAATATCCATTTGGATGATACTGAGAAATTAAAAGTATTTACATAATCAGTAAGACCTAATAGCAAACAGCTAACATTTTTTCAGGTGAGGAATAAATTAGGGCATTTGTTACGACTTACAAAGCCTGACATTACATTGTTATTAGCACATATAAGAAGGTTTGACATTTATTGGCGCTCCTGACTGTTGCAGTGACTGTGATCATCACACTTGCCTAAGGCCTCCGGGAAGAAGATTGTAGGTTCCTGAGTCCGGCTTGGAGTCTGAGAGGGTCTAAAATAAATTTTAAATCCACAGAAGGAAAAAACAGCAGATGCTTCCAGGTCCGGCTCTCCAAGCACGTTCCAACCCTGAAAGCAAGAGCAAGAAGCTAAATAGAAAAGAAAGGTCTAAAAAGCCACAGGACCAACTGCATGTCACTTTCGTTTCCAACTGATCCCTCTGTGGGAAGTACATAAATTGGTGAAGATCTGCAGCTGGACGACTGAATGAGTTGCTTCAGCAGCTTTGTGGAAAATGATGCGCTTCGTGTCTACAACAACTCACTGACTTATTTGGAATTTGGAATTGTGTTACATGCCGACTCTGCAGATTTGCTTAATAAGGTGCAACATTTCAAACCTGTAAAGCTGGTTTCCTCCTGACTTCCTTCACATGTTTTACAAGTACACTGGAATGTAATTATGTAAAATCACATAGTTAATTTTACATCAACAATAATTTAGTTAGTGTTGATTTTTATATTTTGCTGTTTTTCCAGCTCATGCCCACAATTTTGATCTGATGAAGGAAAAGATGGAACTATTTATGTTTGATAATGTTGGAAGCACAAGCGTCAGTGTTGTTCATTGGGAATTTAATTGCAGCTAACTCCACCCATCCTCCCGTCATCTCTGACTAGCTCCACTGATCCTGTTGAATGAGCGTGTCCCCACAGCATGATGGCGCCATCACTATGTTTCATGGCAGGGATGTTTTTTTTTTTTCTCAAGGTCTGCAATGACAGTCTTCCACCACAAGTGTCTTCCTGTGCTGTCTGTACAACTTGCAGACTCTGAATATACATGTATATATAAGAATATATATCTTAGAAAAGGCCACTGAGGAAAAGACATTAAGTACTGGCTTAAAAGTTGCAACTCTTTCGTTAAAGAAAAAAAGATTCATTCCAGTGTAGTGACTGATTTTATTTTGCGATTTAAAATGCTTTTATTTGTGCAAGGCGCCCAACCGGATGTAGTTGTATCCGCTCGTTGCCTTGACAGCGCAGAAGACAACGCGGTGCAGCTGCGGTAGCGAGACGACACACCAGGCGGTTCGCAGGAGACCGGGCCACGCAGCGCTCGGCGTCAGTGTCCCCGCTGCCCACGAAGCGAAGCATGGGCTCCGCGGCATCGCGGTCATGGCCAGAGCCACCAACCGAAGCGCAGAGGACGGGGCTCCCCGTGTAACCGCCCCCACGGACCGCGCCGAGGCGCGGGACCTGTCCGAGCCCCGGGAGCTGTCTCTGGAGGAGGTGCTGAAGTCCTACGAGCAGCCCATCAACGAGGAGCAGGCATGGGCGGTGTGCTACCAGTGCTGCAGCGGGCTCCGGGTGCCCCGCCCGCCGCCGCCGCCGCCCGGGAGACCCGGTCGGGTGAAGGACCCGTCCTCTGTCCTCCTGCACCGGGACGGAACCGTGTCGTTGAAAGAGGAGGAGCCGCAGCCCGACGGTAGGACCGAACCCCCAGCTGTACCCCCCCAAACTTACATCCCGAACCAAAACAAACGCGGGAAATCGGAGCTGAAGTCTGCAAAGTGTACTAACAAACCATTACAGTCACGCTGCGGAATGTAATAACACCATTAGATCTCTTATTAGAAACCTTAAATATTGTTCTTTGCTTTGGACGTTGTGGGGAAAAAAGCAGCTCTATCTTAAATTAAATGGTTTTCCAAGGGAGTTTGGCTCAGAGGAACTTCCCAGCTAGAATTTCTATTTTTCAGCTGACCTCGTGCTTTAGTATTTACAGTTCTTTTAAAACAAAGTGACATTTCCTCGTGCAGTGCAGTGTTTACAATAATCTCACCGGCACACAGCGGTGACTGTGTGCCGGTAAATGATCAATTATTCAAGGAGTATAAAGCTGCATCCGAGATTCCCTTCATTTAAGGACCGTTTTCAGAGACGAGGAGACGTGGATGGAAGCAAACGAGCTTTCCAACCTGGTCTCCTATTTTTCACCGAAATTCACCGTTTGAATTTAAGCTTGCGCCGACCGTGATGTCTACCCGGATGTGAAGTATTTATGTCCTCACTGCGGTCTGGGGGGGATCTGCTCCTGAGTCCGCATGGAGACAACTGGAGGCCAAACTGTGCGTGCACATTCAACCGTCTGTGGGAAACTTAAATCCACGTTTTAAAGTGCTACAGTGCTCTACAGGGAGATACATACGCCTTTTTCCACAGACATCATCAGTGGGGAGAGAAATATTTATGATGATTTTTTTTTTTTTTTACAGGGTAAACTTTGCATTTGGCCTCCACTTACGCTTTGAAAATAAGATCTACCTTAACCAGCTGTAATGAAGAGGAAGAATAAGTCACCTGCGTTTATTAATTTAGTGGCGTCTGGATGCGGCTGCTCTGCAGAGTTTGTTGGAAAACCTCGCTGACACGCCTGCAAACCTGAAAGTGAAGTTGTGGAGAATTTTAGAGTTCATTTAAGCGTCTCAAAAACACATCTGCTGGTCAAAGAGAGAGCAGGAGCAGCAGAGATCCACTGCTCGGGTGGAAGAGTCCGTTCCCAGGACAGGCGGAAGATTAGCCGATTTTTAAAGTTTGCAGAAAGTGATGTTCAATGTCCCTAAGCACGCAGCCAGAACTATGATGGTCAGGACAAAGTCTTTCACTGAATCTCAAGGCGCCAATAATGAAAAGAGGCATTTTAATTTTTATGTGCAATCATTGTAGAGTTAATCTACAATGACCAGGTATTGCTTGCCTGGTAGAGTGAACACTGCAAACTTGTGGCTGCGTTAGAAAGACGTTGACATTTCCTGACTAACAGGTTGGATTACTTCTTTACTTGCCTCCAGACATGGTTCTCAAAAATTGGTTTTCTGTGGTAATATTATGACCGTCAGCCACGTTAATCTGCTTTCTCCATGCACTGAAAAAAGAGAACAGGTGATCCAACTTGAATATATTGTGCCAACTGGTCACAAACAATCACATGAAGTTTTTAAGTTCATTTTATTAGGTTGCAAATGAAAATAAAATACGTCTGACAAACTTTATCCAGTTAACACAATAAGTAGGAACTCCATTTACTTTTTTTTCAGTGCACATTAGTAAAAAAAAAACAAATAAAAACGTAAGATATGAAGTTGAGTTTCTAAAAATGTACTGACATGATGGCCGCCGTGCTTGTGGTTTCCGTCCCAACCTATCAGCGCTATAAAAATGGACGACATTTCGAGAAAACAAGTTGTGTGCTTTCAAACTAGGGAAAACAACCCGGATCCAGACTGTAGAGTTTTTAAACCATTGTGCCATTCTGTGACGGATATCTTCAAGTGAAACGTTCCCACTTTCCTGTTATTCCATTTTTCCTGTCCTCTTGTGCGCTCACAAGCACAAAAACACAAAACAATCCTCACATCGTCAGGCACCGTGGGCATCTCCTCCTTCTCTGCCGTTTCCTCCGGTATCACCGGTCTCCTGGGAGAGGAGAGCAAACTTGTCGGATCCGATGGTAAACACAAGAGCCGGTGTGCAATTTTTCAGACGCTGCTGACATCGGCTGTTGCTCCGGCTCCTCCCGTCAGACGGAGCACAAATCTGAGCCGAAGCAGCCGTCGTAACATGAGCCGCGGTGCCGCAATGGGCCCATAAAAGGCTGAATTGTTACGACGCAGCTGCATTGGAGCGCTCATCAGCCACCTGCCATCTGGAGCTCAGCGTCTGAGAGCCGTCTCTGCAGTTTTGGTGGAAAAATAACAATATGGGGGAGTATATTCCAGTGGCAGCTTGTAAAGATTTCATGGACCATAGCAGATTTGTGTGAAATAAATCTGGTGTTCAAATTCATTGCTGTAGACTTAAGATGGATTCAAATTAAGTTTCGCGCTCCAGTTCTCAGATATACCAGCACTTCTAAATATGTGTTCAAATTCAAAAGTGTTTTAAGATGATTTAATCCCAAGGTTCTCACGCTGTGGCTACCTTTTATTCGAACAGTAAAAGCATCATGACGCACCAATGACAAAAACAAAGTTGGGGCACGCTGATCTATGCTTCAGGTTTTCTCAAAACAGAAGTTCAGTGAAGGACTTCCTGAGCTTCTTATAATGATGTGAGCTGTGTTCAGGTGTAATTTTAGACAAATATTTGTCCAAAAGTTCTTATTCAAGGAGAAAGAGGTTGTGTCTTTGTGTCCTTGTAGCAAGTCTGGCTGAGGACTTTACGGTCACAGGTTTGAAAGGATGTAGGATCTGGAAGCCCTGTTGTCATTTCAAACCCAGATCGTATTAAAGGACGTAAATATCCCTCCTCAATCACAAGACCTTCACTTATCTATCGGTACTCAACTTCTGACAGCAGTGAGGTTTATTTCATCATCTATCCAACTTGAACAATCCTCTTTCAGCTTCCTCTGAGCTGCGATCTAATCTGAAAGCTTTAAGCAGAGGTTGTGGAACAATTGGACTTTAAATGACTCTAATCTTTGCTTTGAGTCATTGGAGCTCTTACATGAACTCCAGAGATTGAGGTTCGTCTTGATTCTGTTACACAGAAGGTCCTCAGGAAGTCAAAGTCCACATATAAAAATGGCTGCTGCCATATAAAAGCAGTTTGCACCACCGACCTTACCCACCAAGAAACCAAAGCCACTCGTTGTAGACTATGATAGTTTCCATTCAGTTAAAAAAATGTTCCATTAGTACTGATTTACTGACTATCTCATTTCAGTTTTTGCATTTCTTGAGAAAAAGGTTTGATAATGAGGTAAAAAGTCCAAAATAAAATAGGTGCACCTTTTAAACTGCACATAGTATGCGTGACTGTTGCTTTTAGGTGCATAGGTGTGTATAGATAAAGACTGATAAAGTCATTTTATGAATATATTTGTACTCTGACAGTGATAGGAGTTCTGTGATAACAGCCTTGTAAAGTTTTGCATTATCTCAGTTTTGTTTTAGGTCATAAAATCTGCCCAGAAGAGCTCAGAGCACACATAGGACACTTTGTGTTTTTCTTTGCAGAACTTCCAGCGTCTATAGATCACTTAGATGCTGCAAGTTGAAATATCAGGAGACGAGAAATATGTTGAAAAGTGACCGAACTTGAGCTGTCTGGCAAAAACACTGCCTAAATGTAAAAATGCTCCAAAATGCCAGTAAAATGCGTTTGCGGTTACAGAAGGATAATATGTGGATAAATCAAGGAGAATGAATACTTTACAACGTCAAGTATTGGGCTTATTCACATTTGGCTTTTTAAAACTGAGCAGCAAGTGTCTTAAAGTCAGAAAACATCAGAATCATCACAGGTGACACGCAGCAGCCTTTTCCTGCACTGACATCTGAGCCTCTTTTTTAGATTTGGTGGATTTATGGACGTGGCTCCGGCTCATATAATGGCTGCTATCACACCGTCCTATTTCTTCTGCACTGTTTGCCTCCTCTGATCACTCACTATCAAGCCTGTTCCTCTGAACCCGGTTTGCTTTTTCTTCTGTCACATTTCTCCGTCCTTATTTCCATGGCAACAGGAGGCAAAGTCCACACTGGGGGAGCTTTGGAGTTACTGCGCCCTAACGAAGGAAACGGGGAGGCGTCAGGCTACTGAGGATGAAAGCCATCCGTCATTAGCCGGAGTAAACTGTGTGACTAACGGGAAGGAGTTCTGTCAGATCCAGCAGGACCTATCGTCAAGTCGAGCGGAGAACTCGGGAACCCGATGATATGTTTACGTTTTGGTTGGCAGAAAGATGCTCTGCGTCGATGACACCTGCCGAATGTCTTTATGCGTGAGGTTGTTATTCTCTGCGATAAAAATGCGTCTAATGGATTAGGGTGGGGGGCGACAGCTTGTGGGTGTTTATTTTCTCCACAGTGGCTTTGAATCCCACGGGCTAAAAGCGATGCAGAAACGAGTGAATATAAATGTCGCAAGAAGGTCTCGTTGAGGTAGTCGCTCTACTTTTCTTAAATATCTGCTTTGACTGTCCAAAAGAGGACGACACTAATGATGAGATGGGGCGGGAGTCTGAGCTGGAGATCAGGCTTGATGTCGGCTCACTCAAATTTCTTTTAATCAAGCAATTGATACCCAACAATTTCTGGTGCATGAAAATAAAAATGTTTCCATAACTTACCCAGGCCAGCATTTCTGCAGTTCAACCACTGAAACACACCAAAAACCCAGGAGGAGTGGAGCATGCAGCTAGTTCTTCTGTTGTTGGGTTGGACTTGCCGGCGGACTGGAATCTATACCTGAGTTTTGTTTGTATCCATGGAAATCCATTCGTCTTAAAACCCCTCCGCTTATTTGGACCCAGGAGTTTCACTTAAAGTGTTATGTTTTGGAAAACCTGCATTAAAAATAGGTCACTGCTCCTTTAAACCTTCTCTAAAGCCTGATCCAGGTTAGCTCTGACTGCATCGCTGGGCTTTTGCGTTGTTTTATGTACATTTCTGTGGGGCAGAGCCGTAGATGTTCTGCAGGAGGCTCTCGGTTCACGATCACTGCCTCATAAACGGATGAAAACATCATGTACCCTTTGGGTTCAGCCATTTTCACTAACAGTGCCAAGTTCAACGCTGTAAATTTGGTCTGAGTTTGAATGTGGAGTAAAAATCAGAGCTAATCAGAGCATCACAAATCATTTTTTTAGCTGATGGGAAAAAACGAACTTATAATACCTTGTGAAAGCATTCATAGCCCTTGCATTTTGTCACTTTTAGAGGGAGTTAAGTAAAAGATAAAGGCTTGATTCTGGAGTGGACGTGATACTTTCAGCAGGACGTTGACAATAAGACTAGAGCAACCGAGACAATGATAATAATAACTGCTGTTTATTTCCGTCTTGGTGGTTTTGTAAGTTTCAGGAGGGGTGGAAGGAATGTAGTCTTGGTTTGGTCATGTGACGGTGACGCCACTCAGGATTGTGGCGTGTGAACCGAAGCAGAGAAGCAACATCAGCAATGTGGACATTTTCTGACAGAGATGAAAAATGGAAGGAAAATATGTATAATATCAGTAAATGTCACTTATGAGAGAAATTCTAACATTTCTGCTAAATGTGCATGTCAGTGCATCCCTCAATTAGATGAAAGCATATTTATGTGTTAGAATGGTCCAGTCAAAGCCCAGACCTAAAACCGATTAAGAAATCTGTTCAAAGACAAGAAACTTATTCACTCTTCCACTCTGTTTGATCCGAGTTTGATCTATTTTCAAGTTCATCACCAAAAAAGTCGCAGTTGTATTTGCTGTGAGAAAAAAAGTTTGTACAGACCATTGAACCACTGGGTTGGAATACAAATGCATGCCACACCTTTCAGAATTTTATTTGTCCTTTTGCACCCGCTCAAAGTCATCCGCCGCTTTGTGTCGGTATGCCACTGAAAATCCCAAATAAACCATGTTGACGTTTATGGCTGAAAGATACAGAGGAAAAAAGGAAAGTTTAATACTTTTGCGAGGTGCTGCAAGGAGTGGCACAGCTCAGAGATGATAACTGGTACGTCAGCACCCGCCTCCCGTTTTCCACAGTGCATGGCTCACCGTGTGTTTTTCCAGGAGCTGAGCTGCAGGGCTGCTGGGGGATTTTCACTGCAGATTCTTTTCCTCTTTTTGTGTTCATCGGGCCGTAGCTGTGGGAAGGTATCATCGGTTTCACTCCGTGACCGGGGCCCTCCATTGTTGCGGACCTGGCCGACAGGTTTACAGGGCTTCATGTTATCTCCTTCCTGAGTGGAGGGCTTTGTAATGGACTCTCCTTTTGTTGCTGATGGAAGCAGCATCTCGTCTCACACAGGAAACGGGCCGAGGCTCTGCCGGTCGATGCGCTCACGCCCTGCTGCCAGCGCTTTGTTTTGTAGACGGCAAAAGATGCCAACTGCGTCCTGCGGCACAAACAGACCTACAGGGCAAAAACTCAGACTGTGGATGGTGCAGACACCTTTACTAACAATGTGTCATCTTTAAATAGCCTGCACCGAGATTTGTTGCTGAAGTCTTATAAATGTAGTTCTATCTTTTATTTCACTCAGAATTATCCAGGGAAAACAAGTTAAACTTTCTATTTCTATTTCCAGTGAGGTAACAATTAATCTGCTTATGCATAAAACACAGGAATGTAGGGCAATTCTAATATTTCAGAATTTATTGCTCAGACATGTTTGATAATAAACACTGTAGTTACTGCCTTCAGTTTAGGTTTCCTGATGAATAGCCTCACATCTTTTCTCCCTCCTCTCTATTTGTGTTCGTCCAGTCTCCCGTTTGTCTGTTGAGTTGCTGATAAAGGACATTCAGGCCTCCTCGGGTGTTGCTACTGACATGTGAGCCAAGAGGAAAGGCTTGTGTGACTCTTTGACACAGGCACACCAAGCTAACCCATCTGCGGTCAAAAACTGCAGTTGAGATGAACTTAATGGAGCCAAACAACTGCAGTTCCAGCAAGAGGAGTTTGAAAGTGATTTGAAATTGTGGCATAAACGTATTTAGCTAAAAGCACCAAATTTCAAACGCGACATTAGCCCACAAAAAAACAAAGCTGTGACGTTCACCTCGATTTCTTAAAGATCTTCTTTTCATTTTATACACATGTGGCTTCAACATTGTTTATTTGATGCCAGAGGACTCTGGAAGACATTTGATTAATCTCCAAAAATGGCTTTCCGTGCTTCCGCACCTTTCAAAATCCCGTTTGGAAATATTTACGGTTATGAACACAAATAGTAAAACAATGGAGTACAGTAAAACCTATCAGAGTTACTTGCTGGTGTTTTCAAACTACAGTTGGCAAAAAAACCCATTTCTGTTCTGCAGCAGACTAGCTACATGTGCAGATTCCCTGACTAGTTAGACTGCTTGTATCATCTCATTATTCCATCAAGAGCAACATTTACTCAACTCAGTGGACATTCCTTCTAGATATGGTCTTGATATTTTTGTTTCTGCTTTCAGCTGTCATGGGGCAAGAGGCAGGGCACGACTCAGACAGGTCATCAGGGCAAAATAATACCCTGATAACATCAAATGGGGTTATTTTTATCCAAAGTTATGGTCCTATCAGACCATTGTGGTGTGTCCAGATGTAATTGTTTTTGGTGTGATGTGTTTTTTGCAGTGATTCTGAACAGATGTGATGGTCTGTTGAGCTTTTCTGGTTTTATTTCATTTCCTTAAGCTCCCGTCTCAGCTTCAGGATGTGTTTGTTTTGGTTCGTGTTTAACTCTGCAAGCCTATATAATCTGCCCTGTGCTGCAAGCATTGAAACCTGCTGTCTGCAGTTCATACCTGTCCATTGTTGCTAATTCTCCTCCGTCATATCCTCCTCTGTTGTTATTCTGTCTGGTGCTCGTCATTTCCATTCGTCTTCCTCCTGCTTGGTTCCTTTTTACTCACCCATGCACAGATAACAACGATCAGCTTTAGCCAATTCAAGACGCCGTGTTCATCACGCACCACTTCTTACTCATCTCGTGGATGTTTTGTTTTGCTTTGACAGCCGATAATTTAAAGTTATTTTGTATAATCTGCTCATTGTCTGCTGTTCGTCACAAGTCTAAGGAGTATTTTGTGTCATTTTGCAGGTCATTCTTTTTCTGTGAGTTTCTTTCTCATGTTGAATGCTGCAGCCAGCCTTTCTGCCGTTCTTCAGTTTCATCACTGAGCCATTTATGAAGTTAGATCAGCTGCTCTCCATCTACCAATTACCACCCATTTATACAGACTCATCTCAATACATTATATATATATATATATATATATATATATATATATATATATATATATATATAATATATATCATTGAAAAGTTTGTTTATTTACGCAATTCAGTTCATATAGCTCCATAAAGATGCTATAGATGTAATGTAATATTTTTTGTGTGCAGAAGTTCAATCGTCATCATGCAATTCAAGTGTCATATAGTGATGTTATCCATGTCCATAACATATTTGACTTGTTGAAAAATAAGGATTAGTCTTAATGAATACTGTTATTGTAATTTTCAGCAATAATCCTGCAATAAAATTGGAGATGGTGAAAATGTGCTGTTTGATGTTTCTGGCATTTTTGTCCTATTAATATTGATGATCATAGAAATATTTTTGATTTCTATGATCATCATAGAAATAAAAAATCAAAAAAAACTTTAACTAGTTTTCATGTTTTTGTTTTTTTCTAGATGACAATGATGGGGCTGCTCTTCCACCAATCGCAGAGCGACAGGTAAGAAGCACAAAACACTTTTTAAAATCTTTTTCTCATAATATGATGAATATTTAGCTTCATATTTAGCTTTAGTTTAGTCTTTACACAAAATAAAGACTAAACTTGACTTTTATTGCTTAGTAATTTACTGAAAAATAACATTTCAAACAGTGTTATACAACACAATGCTGGAAACGTTTTGTTACTGATTAAATTTTTTTTTAAACTAATTATTTAAGGAAAGTAAATGTTAGGAGAATAATACATTTGAATAGCAACGTTAAAAAATATCCGTTTTATTTGTTTCCATGTGTTAAAATGACAAAAGTAAAAAAAAAAACAGATTTTACAAATGAACATTTCTGACATGTCATTACTCTTTTCATTTTTGAATGCAGTGGCGTACTCATTGGTGTAATCGTTCTTGCAACTTGTTTTGCGTGTGCAAAATAAAAAGATCATGTTTGAAATTAACAGCCCTCGGCTGTGGGAATATTTTGTAGAATAGTATCAAATGGTGAATGTTGACTCTGACAGGAAGCTAAAAGTTTTCTGACAAGTCTGTTGGGATGTACTCATTTATTCTCCACAGTGTACTTTAGAAATATCTTAATGTTAACATCATATAGGTGGTAATAATAGTTAGAAAAATGTTTTTTTTAAGTTTATTCTCTGTGCTTTTCTTGATCCCTGCAGCTGGTTCAGTCCCTCGGTGTGGCCATCTATCGAGCTCTGGACTGGGGACTGGACGACAACGAGGAGCGGGAGCTCAGCCCGCAGCTGGAGCGCCTCATCGAGCGAATGGTGGGCGGGGACCAGGGCGGCGCGGGCGTCAGCTCTGCTGGCGGCGGAGCGACCGATGAGGGGTACAGTGGACAGGAAGAAGAAGAAGAGGAGGAGGAGGAGAAAGAGGAGCAGGAGGGCTCGATGAGGCCGGTGTGTTCGTTCCGTCAGGTCGTGGTGCTCTGTGCGTCCCGTCTGGCCAACCCGAGCCTGGCCCCGGAGCACTACCAGGCCGTCTGCCGCGCTCTGTTTGTGGAGACGCTGGAGCTGCAGACCTTCCTCATCAAGATCAGAGATGCAAAGGAGGTACGTCACGGCGCCGTCACGTCAGAAAGGTTGTTTCCTAAACAAGGGCCAAATCAGACGAGAAGAGTGAACTTTGCACGTTTTGGGTACAAGAATGATTCGAAAAATTTAATACAACATGACAAAAATAAGTGGCTTTATCACATTAGTTTTTTGTAAATTATGTTTGTGAATAAATTATCCTGCACGAGCCGTTTAATGTAGACTTTTTATAATATTTGTAGCCAAAGTCAGGAATATGTTACCATATGACTCCATTGATGAATCCTTTAAACACAAATCAAGTGAAGAAAACACATTTCTATTGTTAGGTTTCAACATCACATTGATGTAATGTTGAAGTCCAGCTGTGATTTAAACTGGATCTTTTGCCTCCCTTGGTGACCTTTGCTCTGAATGCTGTTTATTGTCTGTGTTGTGATTTAAAAAAAAAACAATTTCTCTCCTTTTTCTTGTTGGTATTGTGTTTTGTCGTGTATAAAATCTCATTAAAAAAAGAAACAAAATCTCATTAAAAAACAAAACAAAACAAAAAAACCCTGTAAGTTCGGTCATCCAGTTGATAGAAATCCAAAACAAAACCCAAAACCATCAATTTAGTCGAGCTTCAAAGTGTTATTTTAGTGTAGAGGGCAAAAAAATAAGTACATTTCTATATGCTCATGAGGTTAAATACCAACTTTATGCAAACAAGTCCTAAAATCATATACATTTTACAGGTTTCTAGGCATTTTCTGAAAATAAAACGTAAGGTTTAAATGTTTGAACAACTTGAAATGTATTTCTTTTAATCACAGGACATGTGAATTTTAGTTAAGATGTTCATAATTGGAACAGGATGTGTGTGACCAGTCTTGAATGCTGATAAGACCTACAGTGCCATGCAAAGATGTTCATTCCTTGTGAACCTTCCCCTTTTGTGCTGTTATACAGCCACTAACTTTAAATTACCTTTCTCAGGATCTCAAGTGATAGAAGCGCCTTTTGGGTTCGTCTCCACCAGCTTTGCAAATCCACAGACAAAATCTTTACTCATTCACTGTTGCAAAGCTCAGGCTCAGCCAGCCTGGACCTGCGAACAGCACTTTTCGAGCCTTTCTGAATCACTTTTAAGTGATTTCTGGACGGTGAACCGAAGTGATTCAGAAACATGAGCAGTCAAATGTTTGACATTTGTTTTGTGCCGCTCAGATGCTGAAGAAGATTTCCTCCGAAGAAGCTCTGGAGGACAGATCCACGGCCGAGCTGGACGCGCTGAAGCACAGAGACTGGGTGAGACGACGCGACAAAGTTCACAGAAAGGACGACGGCAGCGCTGTGTGTCTGACTGGGTGCGGGCAGAGCCGTCACGCTGACAGAAGCACATGTGTTGCTGTTGTTTCCCACACCACCAGGCTCGTCTGTGGGTGCAG